CCCCCCCAGGTATCCAGATTTGCTAATTACTTTGAAAATGCATAAAAGAATCTGGTGTTGTATGTGAGAATAAAGGCAAAAATCCATATAAAATAAACTTTAGAATGAAGAAAATATATTAAAATGTTTATTTGGTAATTCTTACATAAATTTCATTATATAATATTACAATAATTACATAAATTTAAACAACTCTATATCCTATTTATATGAAAACAAAGATAGAAATACATTGTAATATACACACATTAATATTGTACTTTATTTCATGAATATACTTATTTGGATGGTTAAAGAGTTAAATCTGTCCCCTTCAAATTCTTTTCTGTCCAGGAATCAAATTGTTTAATGAGCTCTGGGGTCATCGTCGCTTTCCACTCCCCTACTTGACCACTACGCATAAACTGGCCTTCTGCTTCAATTAAGTTAAAGGTACGATTGATCTCCACAACAGCTTCATAATTTACTGCTGGATTGTTTTTCATATTCTGAAAACTTAGATGATTAGCTAATATTTCCACTTGATCTTCGGTCATCGATTTACCCAAGAAATTTGCAGTCTGCCTAATTACAGCTGGCAAATCCTGTAGGAGATACAAAAGACAGTTTTTATAAACATCTTAGGATGTTAGTTCTTACATATAATCATTTAAAACAAATTTACCTTTTTCATATCTTCATACTTCAGGAATAAAATATTGGAATGTTCCTTTCGTTTCCAAAAACTCAAGACATGAGACCAAAATGGTGCAAAAGTCACTGTCATTAAGAGAAAGGATTAAAATCTTACATAAAAACATGAAATTGATGGTAAATATAAATTATTTGTTAAATTATCTTACGTGAATTGCCCATAAAAAGTTTGCAAAAATCATCAAAGGATCCCTTGTATCCTTCAAGTAATTTTGAATGATGGTAATATGAGACGCATGTATCCTTGCAGTTGCGAGCAACATAAATAATCTGTAAAATAATGATGAAGATCAGCAAGATGTTAACTAAATTTAAATGCTCCTTTAACTTGTGTTTTAATAGTAATGTGAGATATAGTCTTTACCAATTTATTTCAATGATAGTTCAGCCATTGAAAGCTGATTATCTTTTGAATAAAGAAATGAGTAAAATGTATTTTGCATTATTTCAATGCCAACAACACACACCAGCAAATCAATCTAAACAATCATTTAACATTTACAGTTCCATAGTGTACCTTCGGTTGTTTCGATCCATCTTGTATTTGTTTTGGTAGTAATTCCCATGGAAGATGAGTCTTGATAAAACGTGGAGATGGGAGTTCAGATACATACTGAACTGAATTAGTGACATACAAAGGGAAGTTCATATCAGGCCGTTTTGCAAAAAGATCTCTATAATCAAATAGTGTGGTGTGCCTGCAAAAAGGGATAAAATACGTGAAAAACATGTCTGTATAAATAACATATCATCAGTGTGAAGTTTTCTCTTTTATTTATGGAGAAAATTTTATATCCTTGTTCCGAATAAGAATTCATTCAATTTCTGTAATTGATTTTTAGTGTCATTAAAAAAGAGAAACTTGAACAAATCAGCCTGTGAAATTTCAATTATTTCACAATAAGGAAACCATATTCGTTGTCAGAGTTTATAAACAAAAAAGGATTAGAAAGGAATATGGTTTTATTTATATTATTATATTAAGAATATGAGTTCCTTGTTTGCAAGATTATGGCCAAAACAAGCATTATCTGTGCAAGTCAAAAATGTACTTCACCCGCTTTTCCAATCAAGGCAGCAACAAAGCTAAAATGTAAAAGTTTATAAAAATATTTGCTGAAATTAAATAAATTCATGAAATTATATTTTTGCGATTTAAGTTTTAAATTTTTTTTGAGAAACAATATAGGGGTAGCAAGTTATTATATTATAACTGAGGCGATTGCTAGAAGAGGGGCCTGAAGGACTATAGACCCTTCTTCTGGAGAATTCAGCAAAAGTTAGAGATATTTGGGACTTATATGGGTACTTTAAGGAAGAGAGCAAAAAAATTTACCAAAACTTTTTGAAGAGTGTTCCCCTCAAGAAGTACCCACTGGAAATGTCGACAAAAGTGAGTCAATATCTGATAGCTCACAAGATGATCTGTGAGGTAAAATATAGATAACAAACCATGTTGTAATTTGTATTAGCAGTTTATTTGAAAATCAATATAAAATTTAATAATATTTATAATTTACACCATTTCAATAATAAATATAAAGTGTTCTCCAGAAGAAAGGCCTATAATGCATTTTGTTCTTTATGCTGCATTAAGTTTAAAAATAATTATAATATATTATAATAATATGTAGTTAGCAATTAAATAGACCAGTGTGTACAATGCTATGATCAACAACTTGCAATGTGTTCTCTGTTTAGAGTATAGGTCCTTCTTCTAACTACTGCTTCAATTAAGTCAACTAAATAAAGATGTTTTGGATACAAAGCTAGAAAATCTAAAATCAAGTAATTGCAGTGAGCTTTGTTTGTCTTTTTGGTGCTAGACAATGACATTTTTTAAGGTACCGAATGAAGTCAACTGGGGAAAGCTTTGTTTCAATTTTACTTTTCAATATTTTTGAACACAACACAATAACAATAGAATTAGAAGAGAAATATATATTAAAAAAACAATGTTTTGTACACTATCATTCACAAAACAAACTTTCTTGGCCTAGGCTGAAAATGCACATATAAGGATGTAAGTGGTGCTACAACAGTTTGTACTGTCTCATATTATTTGTAGTGATTGTGTCCTACTTTTTTTTAAATTCAAAAAGTTATTAGTGAAAATGTCAGTTTGCCATTGAATTCGATGTATTGTACTCTATTATCACAAAATGTTTCAAAAAAAATATTTATCTGAACTGATATTTGAAATTAATTACTTTGGTTTTCAAAGCGGAACAGTTTTCTCTAGGTTATGGTGCTTTAATAGCCATTTTTTACTACTTACTCTAAGAAAGGAAATCTCTCTGGCAAGAACACTTTTGCCCTTTCAAAGTCTAGGTCATTCGCTATACACCAAGCCATTTCTTGAGTCCATGTTGTTCCTGCAATACATAACCATATTTTAAAAATGACTAAATTATTCTGTACAGAACATTTATTAAAATTGAATCAAAGTTTCTTAGTACCCTAATCTCTTCTAAGTTAATGGAATACCATCTAAATCCTACTAAATATTTTATTGAAATTATAGTGAGTCTTCCCTACAATGTATAACGCATCCTGAAAAAACTTCTATTAGATAACTTATTTTTCTAACTATATTCAGAAAAGCTTAACTGCTTGAAAAAAGCACAAATATGGGTGTAGGCCCTATACATACTCTTTGTGTAGGTCTCTTATTAATTATTGAATAATGAACTTTGCAGTAAAAATAAAACATACTCTCACAAGGGTTTTGAGAGTTCTCTATTAAAGTTGTTTTTTTTAGAAGAATATTTATTAACAACTGTATAGAATACTACCCTACTAACACTAACTGTATAGAATACTACTTGTAATATATATATATATATATATATATATATATATATATATATATATATATATATATATATATATATATATATAAAGTCAAAATACTTTCAAAGAGGCAATAATTTTGAAGGATTAAAAACGGTGTAGATATGAAACGCATATAAAGTAATGAAAAGAGAGTAAGACATGCCAGATATCACTCATTCAGTGGGTGGGTCTCACCTAGTAATTATTTTCCACGACCGAAACGAACACTACTAGGAGGGTAAATCGGCCGCGTGGTTCATCGGCAGGGGGAAGCTGCGCCCAAGTAGATCCTACGCGGACACGAAAGGTGTGGGTTCGAATTCCTCATATGGTATGTGGGCCCTATATCCAGCATCTATACAATAAATAACGAATAATGTGAAGTAAAGGTCGGCTACCACAATAAACGGCGTAAGGTAGTCATTCAAGCAAAACACTGTAATTAGTTTCGACCGGAAGTTTTTGAAGAACGGACTTCACTTAAGGTTCACTTTTTAAGCTGGCTTCATTTACAACATTTCAAAACTTCGATTAATAATTAATTGATTGATGTTTCCGGTCACGTCCACTGCTATGGTCGTCATTTCCGTTAGAGGGGGAGTGCAAGGGGAGAGGATTTGGCAAGGAGGAGAAAGGAAAGATGACGTGCAGACAGTGGCCCGTTTGTTAGGATACTGCTCCGGTATTCGTCCTGATTCAGTACTGATCGGAGAACAATCGATCAGGGCAGCCTTCGGCTAGAATTCTCGTCTAGTCAGCGGCCGAATTCAACCCATCTATACAGTTAGCGTCGAAAATCACCCACCGTCGGAACTCGACGTCCAGAGCTTCGAGCTGAGTTGCGTCAGAGCTAACCCAGCCGGTTAACGCTCAAAATAATTAATTTAATTTAAATACATCATTCCAGCACTCATTTGGTGATTCATTAGTAACGTGTTTCTTTTAATTAAGAAAAGGCAAAAGTAATTTATTCGTTTGTTTAATTAAAAATAAGGAAAATTAAGAAGTCCTTTAATTCATACAACAAAATAACTTTCAAACCTTGCATTGTACTACATGAAACTATAATTTTGAGACGGTCAATTCACCTGCTGATGAAACTAGCTCGCCTGACCCCCATGGAAGGGAGACCAATGAAACTTTAAATACGAAACCCATTTGTATCATAGTGAAATCCTGCGGCAACGAATAGGTTCCTAACATTTTTGATTTTCCCTTCAGAAATGGTGGCGAGAGGTCGCCCTCTCGTCCCCTGGCATTTCGCTCTGCGTGTAGTCGCGAGGATAGCTTCTACTCAGCACAGTGCAGTTCTAAACAGACTTAATATCAAAGTGCTTCTCGTATCACAGATTTCGAATTCTGAAATCGAATAATGAGAGGTGATAAAACGTTGTCTATGTATATTATTGTCAAAAATGTATTTGACAAATTAACAAGAGTTCGATTTTGCAATTTTTATATGCTAATTTTATTTGAAAAATTCGCAGCCATTCTTGAGAAAAATGTCGTTACAGCGTTTCTGAAATTTCACAATTCGAGTCCATTTTCAGAGAAAACATTTGAGTTTTCGAGAAATGTAAGAAATATTTTGAAGCACTTATGCTCACAAATTCAGAAACGTATAAAACATGATCGTGATGAAAATATTAACATTTAAGATCAGATTTTGAAGCATGGATTTTTCAGAAGAAAAATCTTTATCTTTTAATATTGTAAAGAAGATGCCAAAATAATTTCAAACTTTTACAATTGTCGAACATCCGGAGAAATCTACAAAAATCGAACCTGCGATATTAATACAAGCTTCTCCTCCTGTAAAACATTATATTACGTTTTTTATATTGATTGCTTCGTCTGTGAAGTGTACAAACTGGTTGGATTGATCGACTTATAGAGAGATGGAGGAATAATAGGAGGCTTTGCCTAGTAGAAGAAAATACAAGTTGGAGAGAGTGGACACATCTTAGCTGTGTGTGGTGCTGAAAAATATTTTATCAGTAAGTCGAATTTTGCGATACACATGGTATTCTGAAAGTAATTAATTGACACAATTAAACGTAACTGCGACATATGTAATTTGGCACCGAAGATGCTAGATGCGAATGAGAGGTGGGGGGGGCTTATTCTGAAAGAAGAAAACAGCCGAGAAGATAAGTCATGCATTTTTATAGTATTGTAGACTCATGAATAAAGCAGTATGTTACTTTATGGTTTGTGAAGAAAGATAAAAGGCCTTTAATAGTGTGGATAGATTAAATATAGAGCAATTTATTTGCTTGTTCTTTTTTGTCTAATTTCCTGTATCTCGTGTAAAATAAACGAATTAATATATTTTTCATTAGTTCAACTCAGAAATTATTAATGGTATTAGGTTTTTTGACTAATAGATATTTCATTTAATAATGTTTGAGGTCCGGTATACACATCTATGACTGTTTTTTATAACTAGGACCACTATCACACAACTTTATGTATCCACCACACCACGTCTATACGTCTCACCGGTCACGCTATAAAAAATAGAAATGCACCAGGCAGGCAACCAGAGGCAGTCCTCAAGTGAACTGTAGAACGCGCTCATAAAACTGAATATTGTCTTTCCCGAACACTCCCCCGCAATATTCATAATATAGTTACACATAATAAACACTGTTGAAAGCTCCCCCATAAGCTTCCTATTTACATAATAATTATTACACTACACATTACGTGTTTATACACAAAAGTAAACAGACAGATCAGTCACTGGAAGTCAATTTATCCACCAATCCTATCACATTCTTTATCTACGCAATTTGGCTATCTGGTAACCCCTTCGTGTACTTGTCAGCTTCTTGTTTGCCAGATAGAACATACTCTATGCCCAGCTTTCCTTCATTAACTAGGTGCCTTATGTGCTGATAAGAGTTTCAATGTGTTTTGACCTCTCATGAAAACTATTGTTCTTGATATACTTTAACGCGCGTATCTTGTCCATGTAATGTATGGGGACTGATAGCTCTTCAACTGCCCCAATTTCATTCGGCATGCCGTCCAGCCATACCAGTGATTTGCCCGCTTCACTTGCAGCAACAAGTTCAGCTTCTATTGACGACAAAGCAACGCGTCACATCTTTGAAGTTTGCTCGCCCATATCACTGGCCCTCCACATAACATCATGAGGATACCACTTGTGGAACGCCTGGTTGCCTTGTCGCCTGCATGGTCAGCATTACTATAAGCTTCTATTCCCACATTCGTGGTTTCACATAACTTAAACCCACACTATATCGTTCCTTTAAGGTATCTGTGTAATCTATGCCTAGGCGCTCGCTGAACCCCTTCGCAACCAATGTGTGACTGTTTCATTACACTCGTTCAACTTGGGTGTAAATACCCCCGGTTGCCAAATTGTCTTGCCTCCTTTTGGTAAGTCGACTAGGTCTCTGGTGCCATTCTTGTGATGAGCTTCAATTTCTTCATCCATAGCCGCTTACCTTTAGTCTACATCCTTAGCCGCCACAGCTTCATTGAAGCCTGTTGGTGAATCCTTCAGTATCATCAGTAGTCGGTTGATGACGCTTGATTGAATTGTGTCTATAACGAACTGGCTTCCTTAATACTTTTGTTCCTCAGCACTCTCGTCTCACCAACAGCATTTGTTTCACTCACACAGACATTTGGCTTGTTAGGGGCTGTCCATCTGCACAGATTGTTGCAGCACTTTGTCCTTGAACTTGACATCACGGCACACTAAAACACAATGCTGCTCAGAAAAATATACCCTATAAACACAGACATCATACCCGACTACATACACCCTTTCAGACTTTGCCTCGAACTTTTTGCGTTTTTTGTGGGTGAATCCAGGCAAAACATCCTGTACCAAAAATCTTGATATGTGTGAACTGACTTTCCTACCTTAAAAACAGTTCAATAGGTGTTTATCCTGCAAATTTGGATGGAGCAGTCCTATTTAGTGTATGGGTTGTTGCAAGTACTGCTTCACCACAAATTGATTTTGGAGGATGAGCTGCTGATTGAACCCAACTGCGTGCAATCTAACCAATTGTTCTGTTTTCGCGTTCTGCAATCCCATTCTGTTGTGGAGTATATAGAGCAGTAAATGAATGCTTCAGGCAAATGCGCTCTGTATATCTTCGAACTTCACAGTTTTCAAACTTCTTTTCCAAACCAGTACATAATTCCTTATTGAGAAGTTGAGTTTGTGATTTTATCATTTCCATAAGCAACGGTAGCTTCTCTATACATTCATTCTTTAGCCTTAAAATATATCACCCTGAAACTCGTAAAGTCATCCTTGACAGTAAGGACGTACCTATGGCCAGCCCCAACCCTTTTCTTCCATAGTTACATACTTCAGCATCACATACATCAGCAATGATAAGTCCTCCGGGATTAGTAGACTTTTGTACCCTTCTTCAACCTTTGATGTTTCCCTAAGATACAGCCTTCACAAAATTCACTGTCCACTTCTTGGATGCAACGAGTCTTTCGGAAAGTTTGTGCATGCCTTATATTTAGATGACCTAGTCTTTCGTGCCATACTTGCAAACGGTCTGGTGCATTACTAAGTAAATATGCTTTTTTTCTGAGACGCACCATTCTCGCCATTTAAAGCAGGTATCAAATTACCATCGCAAGCAGGCACGCATAAACTCTTTGGGCACACATATACAGCAGGTATCAATTTACCATCGCAATTAACGGCCTCTTGTTATACTACCCTCCTTAAGTATTGCGCCTCAAGTTTTCATACCTCAATGAAATACAGGTTATCAAATCAAATCCTATTTCACAACTCACCCCCCCCCCAAAAAAAGAAGAAAAAATCTTTGAGAGAACTCCCTTCTTTCCCGGCCAGATCATTACGTCTAGGTAGGGGTAGGTAGTAAAAAACCCAATTTCAGGATCTCTAGTCACAAAACTTTCATATGAGCACTCAAGGATCTCTAGAATAGGTGGACAATCTCTATACGTAGGGATTTCACAATAGGCACAAAAGGTCGGCGCTTAGATCTTCTTATATTGAGATGCTGCTTTTAATGTATGGAGTATTCAGTGCTTATCTTCATTCGTAGCGATTAAAAAATCAATGTGTAATTATTATCTTCCAGGCGTGGAATCTGCCCTTTTCGCTAAAGTAATTGTGTTATTAAACAGGTGATAAGACTTTCATGAAATTGGCGACGTATGTAGATTGTTTAGATTATTCAAGCGACAAATTTCCAATTGTCTAAAACAAGGCAACTAACTTCTGGAATCGAAGCGTTGAGCTCATAGGACATATCATGAGCCAATATACTATACTAGAAATGTAATTCGTCAATGTACGGAAAGAATTGAATGGAAGCACAGAGGATGTCCTCATGGAAAGTTGCAAACCAATATAGAGATTGCCGTTTTCAGAAGAAGCAACATTTTCTTTTCATCCTTTTTATTTACATACATCTGCAGTACGGAGGTGCGAGTTTGAATTTTTCATCATTTGAGACGTTTCCTGTCAATGGCTATAAAGAACGTCCGCATTTGTTGTTTTGAATTTGTTTTAACCCCACTTTCTTACGGAAATTTAAAATAGAAATCCATGTTAACAGCGTCCTTAAACATGCGTATATTAAGGTTTCTTTTTGAAATTTGTGTTAAAATAATATTGAAGAATAACCAATTCACCTCAAGAATTATATTTGCTTACATTCGGTTATAATAAATAAAAATGTATAAATTTAGTTTTTAAATTAGTTACAGCTTCAATACATTTTAAGATTATGAATTTAAATAGGATATCCATCAGACAACCCGCCCGTCCATATCGGTTGGAGTTCCAGTTTTCGAAACTTCTCCCCGTTTTTAAGTTTGTAGACTGGTATTATGGACAACCCCTTCTGTATTTTGGCCAAAATACTCTACAATGCCCAATTTCGTTGATAAAAAATAAGCTCTGAAAAAATCGCTAAGAGAATACAATGCCTAGGCAACTGCAATTTTTAGAACTTGTCCAAAACTCACCAGTTTTAGGAAAGCTGACGACAAAAGTGTCATCTTCTCGCACATCCATGTTGAGAATTTTGTTGCCGAATTCTTTGTGCGTTTGCGGCATAAGCGTTCCACGAACACGCGTGTAGCCAGATCGAAAATCTGTGAGAAACAGTTTCTTCAACAGTTCACCGTCCTGCCCTTCCACATCTTCAAAGATCAAATCTTCAGGCATCGTTACAATACGAGAGAAAACTTTCAGCGTAATTTTTCATTGACACTAGATCAGTCGGCTCTGAAGCGAACACTCAGCAAATACACGGACACACGACCTCGTAGAGTCGATTCTCTTAACGACTGGGAGAATACTGGTTTACAGCTGAGGTTATATAGCCACACAAAAGAAACAAAACGTATTGAAGCGATGTGTTGCGGTTGAATTGTACTCCGTTACAGGTTTACAAGGTTATTTAAAAAGAACGAATACGAAGTAAAAAAAAGACCATTTTTTGGCCAGTCTATTACGGAAGTAGATTCAAAAGCACCCAGGTTTAAATCGCTTAGTCATCCTATTGACGGTTTTATCTGATACATTCTAAAAAGCAATCACCTCTGCCATAAACGTGTGCACACGGGCAGACCATTCGCACACATTCAGATAGCTTCTTTTGCGATTTCTTCACATGGCTGGAATAAAAAAATTCCCAAATTGCTTAGATGCATTGTAGCACAATAATTAGGCTTCTTTCAATCAAATAGCTTGTAAATACTTTTTCGAACGAGACGGAAGAGAGGACCTTGAGGCACAGACAAAACGGTTTCAAGAATTAGTGGTAGTAACAGAAAATTTAACGGACAAAGAAAAAATATTATATATGAAATTCATAAATTCATGTAATGATAAATCCGAAATAAGTATGTCATACTTTAAACCACGAATCGTCAACTTTTATCACGTTATACAGAATGTTAAGGTCTCGTTTCATACGTTTATGGATTTTGAATAACACGGATCCATTATTATTATTATTATTATTATTATTATTATTATTATTATTATTATTATTATTATTATTTGGTTTTCTTACAAACGAAAACAAAAAGGAAGCCTGCAGCAAATAATGCGACAGTTTTATAATTCATTATATACTGTGTAGAAGTATACGCAAGTCAAAATGTTATTTAGTTTTCTTGAATGACATATGTTTTAATATTACATGAACCCCTCTCAGAGCCCGTTCGATAAATATTTGCAATACTAAGGGCGAATTCTAAAGAACAGCTTGTGCCAAAATAGATCGTACACCGAAGAAAATGTGGCAAAAATATTTTTAGAATATGAACGAGTTGTTAGAGAAATAAGTAGATTAAATTATTTAGATCTGGATTCTAACTAAACCATGTGTTTAGGAAAGTAATTTACTGCATTGAGGAACAAGAGTTATCCACTTTATCGTTCACAGGGTCCGGCAATAAGTGTTTTTGTCAAAAATTTGCAGTTTTCTGGCGCATGATTACAATATTTTGTCATGTTGAAAAGAAAGGGCGAGGAAGTAAAAATATTGAACATTGCGGACAGAATTTATAGATGTAATAACGTATAATAACATCTCTATAATAATAATAATAATAATAATAATAATAATAATAATAATAATAATAATAATAATAAATTTAACGAAGTGTACTTTCCCAAATAAAAAGAAAAGTTTTCTAAGCTACCTTGGAATTGGAAGCTGGTTAAGGGTTTTTGAGGTTATATTTTTTCGTAGGAATCAACATACACGAAGAGAAAAAATTACTCTAGGCTGAAAGTAACTATTTCTTACGTTCTTTTATTAACAAAAGTATTCCAGTATTTAGTTTAAGCAAATTTATCTGCACACGTTTCTGAGCGTTAAATTGGTACAAAAGCACATACTTTCTCGTTTTATTTGTAATGGTTACGAAGTATTTCAACTTGCAGAGTACTATAGTGAAGACAATTTATTCAGGCTGGTCTCTTCACTTCACTACAGCCTTTGCTTCGTAGTACCGACCGCTGATTTATTCCTCACACACCATGCAAATGTGTATGTTGGACGATTTTACTTCGCGAATTTATTGATCATAGCTGTAATTCCACGAGTGCATTGGAAATTATTGATAGGTTTCTGACTCGCGAAGTGAGGAGGGGAATTATCTGAGAATAACCAAAGCAAGAGTGTGGTATTTAATACGACTATTCCTAGAGTGAATATGTCCAACGGAGTTCCAAAATGCGCAGATATTGAAAGTAACTGAAAGCTATGTTAAAATCTAAGATATTATGTTATAGTACCTTCTCGTTTTATTGATCATCAACGTAGCGAGTGATGTACAGCGCCTCGTAAGATAGATGAGTCACGAAGAAAAAACGAGAAACTTTTTGAGATACACCGCCCTGGTTGGGGCATTTTGTATGTATAGTTGAATACTATTGATTTTAATTTCATGAGTGAAAAAGTCAGTTGACATCCAACTGTTTCGAAGACGGTTCTCTTCCGTCAATGAGGACATTCTTATCGGGACTGAGTAATTCAACCTCTGCTATCACACCTCACTGTGTCAACAGAACTCCTTTTCCTGGGGTTCTGTTTACTAACACTTCCTAGAATCCACGTGCTCCTTCTTACGAAATAGAAAAAAAAATGGAATTATAAACAGCCGAGAAATATATCTAATCATTAACTCAGAAGAAGTTCGGGAAAGCTTCGAACTGTAATGTTTGATATATGTTAAACGTTAGGCAGTATCAAATGATAATAATGACCAAAATTTTCTTTCTTAAGGCTCTGACAGATAAACTGTAATGCTGACTATGTTTATTGCAAATGAGTAAACAATCACGTTAAAGTCAGAGTTCAATTCGATGACAGCAGAAACGTGAACTAATAATGTATGCCCGCGTGTAATTCACCAGATTTTTGGGTGCAGAGTTTGTTGAACAGAGATCGAAGCCCTCGGATCACAAGCCCAAGAGCACATCCACGCCCAAGCAAACACGATTCCCATTTGTAAGGTGAGATAGCTTGAATAGGGAGCAATATAAATCATGGTTTTCTTAGTTAAGATATTTCTTAGTATCTTCTTCATCCATCCAGGTCCTTCCCCTTGCCCACACACTTTCGTAATTCGACTAGCACTCCAGTTCATTCTTCTCGACCACTGGAGACTTCCTATTCGCCCTAGAAAATGAATCAACATTGAAGCTGAATGAGAATATACTTCATGTCTCGCGTAACAATGTGCGCTGTTTGTTCCACGACTGATTGCATTCCCAAGCATTCAGGCGACCATTACTCACGTCCGAAGTGACCTTGCCGCGAGTTTGACCCACAGCCGCACGCCGCGACCTTGGATACTTTCCATTCGGAATTATGGCATAATAGGAACTAGAGGGCTCCGCCTCCTTCAGGATCCCTTTACGGCAAAGCATTGAGGTAAATGCCGATGCCGCCATATCATTCACGATAATTCCCTGTAATTCCTTTTCAAGTTCTACGATTATGCAAATGTCGGGATAAACTTTAATAATACGGTAAGTCTCTCGAAGTATTCATAATCACGACGAATGGGAAAAATCAAATTAATTATTGTTTATTGCAAGGGTACTTATTTATAGCATGGAGAGCTACTTTCCGAAGCAGAGTAGAGAAGTTAGAAGGAATAGTTGAAATCCTGTATTTTATTTCTCTAAATAAGTGCGAGGATTTAAATTTCAGTTCTTTCATCCACACGCAATGTGGTATGTAGTAAAAAATATTATGAGTAACAATTATAATAATTTATTGAGAATACAATGGTAAAATTGAGTATTTATGCTGAGCTCTATTTTACATGAAATTAACATTTTAATACACTTTTCAGACAAAACACACTGTAACTCGCATGATTGCAAATTATCGCAGTTAAAAAACATTTGGAGATATTCTTAACACTTCATCAAAACAAATTTATAATGAGCAATTTCCCTTTTTCTGTCAAATGACATATTTCCCTTCCATGCATATCTTAAAGGACGGGATGAAGAAGTAACTCTTTCTGGTATTGAATGTTTTAGCTTGCAAAACAGAGCCCCCAAAAGCGGGCTCGTCCGGGATTTGAACCCGGGACCTCTCGCACCCTAAGCGAGAATCATACTCCTAGACCAACAAGCCTATTATGAGATGTTTTACAATTCCTTCTCACTTTGGTTTGTGAAACTGTTGCTTTCGAATGAAAAGTAAATGACAAACCTTTTATGGCAGCCAAAGAAGTTTTAAAATACAAATTTGTATGAATAATTCATTTAAACATTATATGAATGCAAAGATCTCGCACTGATGTATGTTCTACACTCGATGTTCAATTCCCAATTAAACAAAGATTCCAGTATGAGTGTATTAAATTGGTCAAGTCGCGATTCATCAACCTTTGATCAACTGAGGATACACCACGCTTTTAAAATCATTCTGTAATAATTTATTTGATAATTTAAACATGTAATAAATTTGATAGATACGACTGAATAATAAGAAAACACGTAATTATGTTTAAGTAATATTTAAGTAATGTTTAAGTAATATTTTGGAGAAAAAGTTACGTTTTTCTACTCTTGTCATTAATGTCGGTTTGTATAGTAACCATGCAGAAAGGAGATTGAATACTCAAAGCTCTTCTAGGGAATAGCACTGAGGACACCAAGGAAGAAATTTATCCATTTGCTTTTCTCATTCAGCCAGAGAGTGTCGAAAAACCTACCGCCTCTACGGGCAACATTCACAAAACGAATAGCATTACTTAGCACCAGCTGTATCCCCTGCAGCTTCTCTTATATCCTCAGCCTCTTAGAGACATTTTACCACCTACCGGATGCTAAACAAGTTTCTTACCCCTGTCGGCAATTGAACTTGTAACCAGGTGAACAGAAAGCGAACATGCTGCTGATCATTAAAAAAATCAAAATGAAACTTATTGCAGCTGCAGCTTCTTTCCAAGAAGGTTATTTTCGACAGTTATTATGCACATCCCTTATTGATGAATATTGTGGCGCGGAAAAGCTTTTTATACACCCGTATCGTACATCTCTGACGTGAATGATTCGAATAAAGAAGTCTCCCCCGCCTGCACCTCAGTTTGTCCCTTGAAAAAAATTCTCAGACTTTGTACACATCTCAGCAGTTGCCTCAACCTCAGACATGCTACTGCATTGCTTGTGGAATCGGAACATTTCCGTCGGGAATAACATCCAGGATTGGACAGCGCACACGCTCATATGAGATTGATTGATTGTTTGGTTTCCGGGCGCGTCAACTGCCAAGGGCATTAGTCACGTAAGTGTAGTGCAGGTTTTCATCGCCGACGTTGGTATTCCACCCTGACTGGTGATATCCGGGGTAAGCCTACATTCACGTCTTGTAGGGTGACCCTCATCCCGGCATCTCCCACCAGCGGAGAGCCGCCCCAGCCGAGACAAGCTCTAAGCTCCCGACCGGCCTCGTGTTGTAGTGTTCTGCATCAAAGAGTGTGTGTAAGTAAGGAATGAGGATAGAAGATGGAATAGAATGGAAGGATCGCGCGCGGTCCGTGGCCCGTTTGTTAGAGCACTGCTTCTGCATTCGCCTGGTATTGATCTGAGAAACCACGGAAAACTACCGATCAGAGTAGCAGGTCGCAGGAATTCTCCTCCATACAGCGAATGAATTCGACCTAGCTGACAAGTTAGTGTCGAAAATCCTGCTACCATCGGGACTCAAACTTAGGACCTCCCGGTCAGAGGCACTGCAGTGAACTGCTCTGCCGGTTCCGTCCAAGAGGGCGACGCCCCAGTTGAGACAAACGCCAAGCTCCAGACATGTGTGGGAGTGCAGTGCATGTATGTGTGAGTGTTGCATCATTTTACATGAAATGAAATTTAATACCACTTCAGGTTATAAACACTTTATAAGTTGTGCCCCTAAACTAATTCCGTTAATGCACATAGGCATGAAGTTAGTAAACTAAACAACAAAGAATTCAAGAAGTATATTAAAAAATACATTGTCAATCGTGAAAACAATTAATTCCCTTTTTACTGTATTTAATGAAAATATTGATTTATATTCTTTACTAATTTCTTTCTTTAACGTTTTATAATCATAACAGATTGCGGTAGTTTTATTTTCTTTGCAACATCAAATGTTTTGTATAAGTTTCTGTATGTATGTTAGGTTAATATTTTGTAAACTGCTACTTGCCTATAAATTATTTTTCTTTGTTCTACCATATCTCAGTTTTTGTTTACGTTATAAGCTTACTGAAACTACAAACAACCACTAGCATTAGCTCTTTCCGGTGCATCAGTTCGTATTTGTTAACTTATATGAAAATTAATATTTATTATTATATTATTATTATTATATTATTATTATATTATTATTATATTATTATTATTTTATTATTATTATTATATTATTATTATTTTATTATTATTATTTTATTATTATTATTTTATTATTATTATATTATTATTATTATATTATTATTATATTATTATTATATTATTATTATTATTATATTGTTATATTGTTATATTATTATTATATTATTATTATTATGTGTATTCGGAGAAGTTAGGGTAAGGAAGAGGAAGGGAAAATCGTGCCGTTTGTTTGGGTAGTGCTCCGACATTCGCCAGATAATGGTCGGATACACCACTGAAAATTACCGTTTCGATCCTCTAGAACTCCTAAAGACAGCGACTGAATTCGGTCTAGCTCTCTAGCGCTGATACGAGCCACTCGGCAAACCCCTCAATCTGTATCGGACCAAAATTTCTCGTGTACATTGTAAAGGTACGGTCGTACCAGGATCGTTATTTACTGTACAATCAAAATGGGCAGTTGTTTAGGAGCCTCCAATAATGGCTCCAGAAAACTGAAAAATGTTTAAACTGTAAAATAATTGTTGGTCAAACAGTCTTCTGAACTAAAAATATTTTATATTATAGTTAGAGATTGATAGTAAATATTGAGCTTTTTAACAGGGTGTTCCGAACACGATTTTTTTTTTGCTTGAGGGAGGGGGGCGTAATACCTAAACCCAACCTTGCATAAGGCCGTATGTTTTCTGGAGAAAACGAGGCAGACAAAAGAGAGCGTGATGCCGAACAGCGGAAGAAAGCTGGTTTCTCGAATCCAAGGCCAAGGCCAAGGTTCCGCCAACTTACCATTTTCTTTGTTATGCATGCCTCCGGAATGGCTCAGAGTTCTTCACAACAGAATGTTTGTAATTCTGTACTCATCAATCCATCCTACCACAAACTCGCTTCAGAAACACCTCAAAATTTATTATTTTTGAGAAAAGAAAAAAATAACTTTACATGCCAACTGATTTGGGAACTTTTGTATCTTTTCTGAATAGCGTAGTGAACAGTATTTTTTAGGTAGAACAAAATTCTCAATTAAAAAAATTGAAATTCACTTAACTCAAAAATAACCACTTTTGGTACGTGTCGCTTTTGTAATGTCTAATCTAGATAGCAAGATAGATATATACAAACATGCATATCTAAGTTATAAACACATGCATACATACAGGCATACATACGTACACTAGCTGGTGTACCTGAAGGTTCAGTTTTATCACCCACATTTAAAATTTATACAACTAATATTTCACGTACACAACATGTACAGATAACGTCACATCAGCGACATGACGTTGAATCAGTCCCGATCCGCCTTCGGTGGGGGGAGGGGGGGCTCACCTGCTTTGGGGTGCGACACGACGTACACGTCTTGGTCGCGCACGGCCATGTCGTGGTAGGCGCGCGCGTGCTCCAGGTAGTAGAGCGGCAGCAGCGCGCGGTGGGGCCCCACGCGCACGTATCCCTTGCGGAAGCCGGGCATGAAGTAGCGGCAGATGAGCGCGTCCAGTTCTCCTTGGCTCGGGTCCACCACGCTGTACTCCAGCGGCACGCCCCCCGCCGCCGCCGTCGGGGTGACCGGCGCCATCGCCTGCGGCACACAGCGCACGCGCCGTCAGGGGGGGTGGGTTCGATTCGATGATTGGTGATTCCCGGCGCGTCAACTGCTAATGTCATTAGTAGGATTTATACATAATAAACACAGGTAATATATTCATATATATGTATTCGTAATACATGCAATTAAAAATGGAAAACTTGCGAAATAATGTAATGTGTAAGTGTAAAAATAAATAAGAAGTGTAAGGTGGAACAAATTTTACAGCAAAAAGATACAGAAATCATAAAAATTGTTACAAGCGACGGCTTAATTTTGAAGAACACTCATTTCGTACGAAAATTGGGAGATGCAGTAACTGTATATTTCACAAAATAAAAAAAATTAAGATATTGCAACAAAAATTTGACTTCCTCTCAATTCACGACAAATCCACAGACCTGACTCTCTTAACACCACTGTAGGTTTGCGCCGTGTGTGAGCACGCATAGGCGCTCAGCTGAAGCACATTTCATCTCGACTGATAAAGCCAATGTCATGTTGTAGCGTGCTTCGCAAGCGACTTCGTACGAGTCAGGCCAGCGGCAACGCTGACCCATGGCTATGGCAACGTAAACAAATCCTCGAAAGCCCATGGTTTCAAAGCAGGTTACATGATAGCAAGTGGCGAGAAAACTGTCAGAGCCGCTTACACGCTGACGGAACTGTAACTTTTGGGCTTCTGTTAGCGGGTGAGGAGTGAATACGCAAGAAAAATATGCAACTATGGCCCAAATATGCCAAAATATAACAATATGGTGATATATACGAAAATATGCGAAATAAAAATATTTCCAATTGATTCTAAATGCCTCAAAACGTATACAATTTGTTAAAACGAGATGCTTTAGTTAACAGAAAAAATATAAAAATGCATATAAATCACAGCCCCCGTTATTAGTCTCCTAAATGCAGTACATGTTTTTTATCGCACGATTTGGCGGAGATCTTTCCCCGCTGGATGGTGAGGTCCGGCGCCGAACTACACGTCAGATAGCGTGTTTTCCTCAACCGGGTATCTTCCATCAACGCGACACAGTCTCAACCGGCACAAACTAAGCTCCTGACTGGTCTCCAGGCATGGAAGTGGAAGTGTTTGTAAGTAAGGGGTAGGAAAGGTTAAGGTAGAGAAAAGAAAGGTCGCGCGCGGTCCGTGGCCCGTTTGTTAGATTACTGCTCCGGCATTCGCCTTGTGTAGATAGGAAAACAACCGATCGGAGCAGCCGGTCGTTATAATTCTCCTGAAGACATCGGGTGAATTCGACCCAGCTTTGTAGCTAATGTAGAAAATCCTGCCATCGTCGGGACTCGAACCTTTGGACCTCCCGGTCAGAGGTACTGCAATGGTATCAGTTGATGCCCTTACCCACATTTGCCGTCGGGTGGGTTCGAAAGTCTGTATTACAAGGTCATTTTTCATCATTTACTGTACAGAAATTGCATTAAAAATTATTTTTACATTAATCGTATTTTATACGCTGATGACATAGGGATAATTCGACAAACTGAAAACAAGCTACAAGTATCATGTGTATTTTAAAGAAAACACTTGAATATGTACTTAAAACGTTCGCCCAAAAATCAACAATTACGACATTTCGTGGCAAATTTCCGATAACATCTAAAATAACAATAGGTTCTAGAACTTCTACGTTCTAGAACACGTCAGCCGCTTGAAGTTCTTAGGCTGTGATATACCTTTTAATACAGATCATAATATGCAAGATAAGGTAGTAAAATTTCGGAATGTTTGTGGAACGATACACAAATATTTGAGAAACCAAATCTGAAAGGAGACATGGCTCAAGTTTTACACGACATTTGCAGTCCCTACACTCATGTATGGATGCGAAAAGAGAGTGAACACGATCACAAATAAAACACACAGAGCAGAAATGACATTTCTGCACGTTTCACGAAGCACGCTAGAATGTTCACTTCTCGACAAGAAACGGAATTCTGAAATAAGAAATATTTTTTAAAAAAATATTCGAAAATATTTTCAAAAGTAAGATGAAATGGTACAATCATGCACCAAGAATGCCAATGAACAGACGATTCCTAGCTGTGAACTATATATAAAGGAAGAAAGAAGGGACATCGGTAGACGTAGAGAAGAAATGTGTGTGTCGGAGCAGGTCACACGGCCTAAACTGTGTAGGGAAGAGGAAGGCAAAATTCATAGAAATATTTAATTACGTAATTAGTACAGAAAGTCCGTCTACGGCGTACGTATGAAATGTTTCCGGACGAGGTGGCGACAGGTGCCGAATACGCCGTGGCGTTTTGAAAGTGCGCCAAAGACTTCCGTGCAAGGTGCGTACATTATTTTTAGTACGAATTCATGGAAACTTACAATTATGAACTCTCCGAATCATCTCAATATGTGAAGCGGCAAATACGTCGACTAATGTCATCCGGGTTTTGTTTATTTTGCAGTAAATACTTTTTTTACGTTGGGTTGACTTCATTATGGAATGGCAAAAGCGATTTTGCCGCACCCGTACAGCAAAGTACCTCTTTGCAATAAATAAACAGTAAAGGGAAAAACTAGTTTACATGCATTAATGGTGAAAATAGAGGTTTGTTTCTAGGCGGTACTGTTTTGGTATTTAAACTGGATGAACGCATCCCAGCGTTTTACTTTGTCATTTTATTTTCTGACGTACTCTGGTTAAAATATTCCCTGCGAGTGCTGTAAAAAGCTCTGAAGGTTAAACAGTCGAACATCGTACCTATAGTAACAAATTAAGTCAGAAAAGAGACATCGCATCGTAGAACATGGCACGTCAGAGGAAATGAGTGAAGTGGCATTCACCAATTATTTACATAACAATTATATTTTTAATTTATTTTTCCTTACTACGACCTATATTGGTTTTAACAGAAACATACGTGTATTTTTGAATGGCACGCACGCGGAACTCGACTGCATACTAAATGAGGAAGGCGCCGTTGAGTGCGCCACCAACAACGCTAGCCAACGACGCTTCATGAAGTGAAGACCCTTTCCTTTCCAGGCCACCCAACCTCCAACTCGCTGCTCATCTCGGTGGTTTCTATGACAACCGTGACGTGATCTCCACGTCGCGCCGTTGCGCCGCCAGGCAGGTGAAGTAGAGACGAAAGAAATGCGATTCTTACTCCAGCGAGAAATTCGTTCCTATCCCACTTTTTAAATTCTGAATCCCGTTAATGACAGTGTGTATTTTATTAGAAAACACCATCCTCACGCTGGAAGGACGGCGTTAAGAGAGGCTCTCTATTGAATCTTTTGAAATACCCAGTACTGCAAGAATTTAAACATTCAGGTAAATGCTGTGTTACTCCAAACGGCCACGGTTTAAGGAATTCCCTTGGTTGTGTTCCTCTCCAACTCTACAAAAATGTTTTCTTCGCCATATTTGTTTTTTAGCAATAAAAACGTTTGGAACAGAGAAGGATTTGCCGCTCTGTTGAATATAAAACGATCGTTGCATAAACACTCAGATTCGGCCGAGCATATAAAATGGAAGGTTAATTTGAAAACGTTTGAAAGAAACTGAAATACATTTTCAGATGATCTGAAAGAAGATGCTAGTCGATATACACTGCTGTTCACTGAAAATACAGGTTTAAACAAATTTTCCCCACAGTTAGCCATTGATGCAGTACTCTACTTTAAGTAAGCAAGAATATGCATTTCAGGCATGATGGAAAAAATACATTTAATAAATGGTGGGAATTTTAAGAAACTGTTGCCATTGTTGGTATAAAGAAGGTATGAAGAAATACAAAATCAGTACTTGAAGATAAACTTGTGGAGCTGCAATGGCACAGACTTTCTCGCACTAGTTAGTTTCTTTATTCTTCACTCTGGGATTATGATTTGGTGTAAAAAAAATAATGGTACAGTTTTTAAGATAATCAAGTGTAATTTAATTTTTTTCATATAAGCTCTTCACCTAACTTCACAGCTACGAGCTGCCAATGCAGTACATGTGACAGCCGTTTTACGCATCTCCACACAAATCATTTCACAACACAGTTCAACGTTCCCGGACGTTCTCAAAACGGTAGAAAAGAAACAAATCGCACCACACGCGCAGCAACCGAAAAACGTTCCGGGAAGTGTCCCCTTGAATAGTAAATTGTCAAATTGGACTTTATCTGTGCAGAACAATGACGCAAGCTCGATTTTTCTGTAGAGCTTGCCTTGTGTCCGTTCGTTTTCTTTGCCGGCGATAAAGGCTGAAAAAAGAACCGTTTAAGGCAGGCTAAAGACGAGCAGCTTGGAGTCTGCCTACAGTATGGGTGTCAACTAAATACCTGGTTGTCTGGGAGATGTCGCGTCCTAGGCACAGGTGTCAACCTTTCGGCTGCCATTCTGCTATCTTCCTCAGGAAAAATGCATTCCTCAGGGCATTTCGCCTTGCAGAAGCCTATGCTCTCACCTCAGTGTCAGCTACTTTGGTTATCAATCCCTAGAATGTAGTGCATGTCATATCCTAAGGTACCGTTGTAACTCTTCTGTTGGCACGTGGGATCAGCCTCTTTTGCTAAGCCCTACTCGTCGGTTTGAGGGGTTTCCCATTTAGGTATCTGCCATGGGGGCCGCCTCTCTAGACAGGATACTATTCTACACTACTCTTAACTCTGCAGACTAATTTTTCCGCAAAATAATCTCATTCTCTTCAGGAACAAAAACATTCTCCTACTACTTCTCCTTAAACAGATGGAAAGAATATCGTGTCATTTTACTAAGAAACAATTCGTTTCTGCACAGCAATTTTTGATATCTTTTTGTCTATAACTTCCACGAGGGTGGGTTTATAATGATTCGAAGCTCTGAAGATTGTTCTAGTTCAAAGAACCGTCAGGTCGCAAATGAACTCCAAGTCTCAACTACGCTTAGAGTTTTTGAAAAGCACAAACAGTTCCGGAGACATATAGTCCGTAACGAAAATGGAAAATTACAAAACCTAGTGATGCTACAACGGCAAATACTCTCGCAT